AAACATGTGGTTAATTGGGAGAGCACTCTGCTCTCTTATATGTAGGCAGCTCTGTGTAACAGCATCCTTTTATTCCATGTAATTGGATCTCTTAAAATATAGTTAAATATCAGTGAGTGAGTATCACAAATTATGTCACTTGGCAATCTTTGAAATTTCTTTTCCCTCGGGGTCAGCAGCAGGGGCAGTGAACCTGGAAAATGCTAACAAGGCTTTTTGAAGCTCAAATGGTCTCTCTCCAAATTGAAAATCTCTTAATCTACTCATTGGATTATACAACACAAACTCTTTTCTCCATATATCTCTTTCTTTATGAAAGAATGACCGGAGAAGTAATAAGAAATAGTTTTTTAAATAGTTTCCAACTGCTACATGTTAGTTTGGACAGTACAGAAAAAAAAAGTGACTAGATTTTCCTTTTCCAAAAGGTTCCAGTTAATGCCAGAGGAGACATAAGGTTCTACACGAGTTCCGATTATGCAAAACTATCTGGGATTTTGGCTGCAATATTCCTTCATATTCTTCCATTCCTCTGCAACCCTACCTTATCTCTACTGTCCTTTGTGTCCTTTTATTTCTGTATTTCCTCAAATAGGACTATCATATCCCCTTTAGTTTTAAGACTTTTATCAGAGAGCTCAGTGACTGGAGCAGATTTTTAATTGAGGCACTCAATGAACTTTGACTATGTGTGATAGGGGCACATGCATTCCCACATGATTGTATGACTAGAGCATGGCTTTTCTGTGGGCAAGCTGTGCTTAGTGGCACTAAGCCCTGCTGTACAAACTGCCTGGAGTGGTGCTGTTCAGGTCATTAATAAAAACTACTCTGGAGCCTCTCTTTGCAAATTGTTAGTGTTTTGAACCTTGCTGAGTCAGTCCTCATCCCCAAGTCCTTCCTCCGAAAGGTCCACATCCTTCTTACCCTGGGGGCACTAGAACTGAAAACAGTACTTCAGATGATTACCTGAAGGTCCCTGTTCAATCTACGTGGATCCTTGCAACTCAGAAACCCTACATGGCCCTATAGCAGCATTTATGGAAGACCTTTATAGGATGATTTCAATATACTTTACAAAACCTGCAGTTTACACAAGAAAAATATCCACAGATAGGCTATTTGCATATATTTGTAAATAGAGGGAGGAAAAAATATTATTTATTTTTGCTTATGAAAATAATCATTGAGGGCAACCAAGAATTTGCACACAATTAGGCGATGCATGTGCAATTTTACTCTTACCATTGGCTGCTTCCCTTTCTGTGCTATTTTGATCTCTAGGCATATGCTAGAAGTGCATTAGAAGCTTTTTTGCTTCTAATATGTTTATGCAAATTTGCTCCAATTGCTACTTGCAAGTGTTCACAACATGACAAGTATTCTGACATATTTATGTGACATACCTTTTGAAAAGATGATAAGGACATTACAGCACCAGGTTTGCAATGCTATAGATGAGGGCTGTCATGCCTTCCATTCTAAAACCATATTTTTAGAGGGTTTATAGTCCTGGAACGAAATTTTTTTTTGGACCTTTGTTAAACATGCATAACTGGAATAACATATCTCTGAATAAAATGTGAGAAAATATATGTAGAATTTAGACACTCAGTGCCAATGAATACACACAATTTGCAAGAAATGGGGTTTTGCCCATATCAGTAGTCTTTAAAATTCTATTTTGCAGCTGGTTTCAACTCTGCCATAGCTGCAAAGATTTTAGGATACAAGTATGTGCACATCTGTTGTAATTCGTATAAAAATAAAACTTTCCTGTAAGTGTGAAGAATGAATGCTCCTATGATGCAGGTGTCTTTAGACAAAAGATGGTAACAATTCAAAAGACCTGTTAAAATGCTACTGATGTTTTATGAAAAAAAAAAGCTAAAAAACATAACTCAGTGGTTTGTTGCTGCAATATCTTATATGTTTCCTCTGCAGCTTAGGCACGTGTGAAGGATATTGCAGGCAATTGCTATTTTTAAAGGTTTTTTGTTTATGTTTTTTAGTTATATGGAAATATTCTCCCCTGAAAAATACTCCTTAACCACTTTGAGTAGCAGTTTTAACTGACATTATCTTTCTGCCATTTGAAAATATTACCAGATCTCCTTTGTATTAAAACATAGCATGGCAGTTTTATTGTACTGGTATCAAAGCTTTTGGAACTTTTTCATTCTTTTCTAGGTACCTAATAGCTGAATGATAACTAGCTAGAAGTAGTTCTCTTTAGGAATATTATCAACTGAGGCAAAGAAAAACAGCTTATCCTCTAAAATTGGTTTGAAAGGAAAAGTCAAAGTCAGCAAAAATAGTTTTCTTCTACTCACCTTGATCTTCTGCAAAGCCTAGTTGTGTCAAATTCCAGTGAAAAGTTCCTGCTACTACAATAATCTAATCACCTGAAAAACTAGCAGTGTCTCAACACCATGCTTCTGCCCAGAGTGTCATCGTATTGCATCAGCCATTATTAGGCCATGCATCAGCAGTTTCTGTGATATGACTGAGCCACTGCTGCCCTATGTGTTCATTTAAGAAGCCCAGAGTGGTGCCACAAGTGCCTCTGACTTGGCAAGCGATGGCATCCTGTAAAGGGTGGGACACATGGAGCAGGCTGACAGTTCCAGCATCAGTTCCTTGCTGAAACACCACACATTCAAACAACCTACATGCAAACATGTAACCACATCACAACTTTGCATCCTAGGTGAGCCTCAAGCATCTTTGTTAAAGATCAGGTCAGCTCAAAGTACAAGCAGAAAAAAAAAGGCAGCTGTTTGGTGTTTTCTCTGCTGAGTTTTTGAGCAGAGGACAAGGGTTCATCCCAGGTACCATCTTATACCCATGAAGTTCTGTTCCTTTGTAGATGTCCTAACCCCCTAGATGCTCGAACTTCTTAAACATTGCCTCTCTTCACCAGAAAGCCTCCAGAGCCATTAGTTTTAGGTGCTCATTCATGCCAAGGAGCACACAGAAACTAGTTTCTACTTAGTAGAGAGGGAAACCTTTCCCAAAACCACGTGTTAGTGGGAGCACTGGGCCAGGAAATATGGAATCACACTGAAGTTCTATTTACTCTATTTACTCAGAGGAGTGCAAGTCAATGGACCAGGAAAGCCAACAGAACACTGTGCCCTGGGCAATCCTTCCAGGCCACTCGCTCTCCCCAGTTATCCTGAAACAAGCAACAGCAGAAATTGTGCCTGTGGAAGGAAAATGAGAAAAGAAGGAAACCGAATCTGTTTTAAAAGTTAGAGGACTTGGCTAGCAGAAGGGAATGCTGCTTCTGGCTTCTCTCCCTCTTCTATAGGGTAGTATGTGACTTCAGCAGAGAACATAGGTGGGAGCCCACACCCTCCATGGGTCATGGGCTACCCTGTGGCTTGTGTCCATGAAGACACATGGGTCTAACTTCATCAGGGAGGCTGGAGCATAGCCATTCCTTTTTATTTCTAGCATCCAAAGGTTAATAAACTGTACTGCCTGAGCAAGACACACCTTCTTCCCTCCTCCATATATATGCAGATACACACAGATCGAGGTATAGCTCAAAGGCAGGTTCCTGCCCTGGAGTGAACAACATAACTGGAAGGTCACTAGAGAACGGCAGATGATAATGTTATTTCTTTCTTCAAAATAAAGCCAGGTGTGATCTATTATGTGCTGCCTATATTTCAAAACGTATATGGGTGCCTACCATTCCCAGCTGATAAGCTCAGCCTTCAGAAGGTTATGTACTAGCTGGAGCAAGTGTACTAGCTCTTCCTTTGAGAAGAGCTGCCTTTGAGATCTGCTTTCCTCCTTTGAATTTATTCAATTTATTCAAGGATACAAGAATTCCCCCTCCGTTCTCCCTCTTGCAACAGATCCTGGCACTTTGTTACCTAACACTGCCTTCTGTCCTGAAGAGACTCCATGAAAAATGGAGTTTTATTTACATTATCCTTTTCAGGATAATATGATTTGCAGAAATTGCTTCTATCTGACATTTCTCCTTTTAGCTTAAAACTTTATTTTAATTCTAGGAGAAAATTAATAATAATGAGGCAAAAAATAATTATTTCCTCATATAAAAAAAATGAAACAAAAACCATTCATGTGCATTAAAGAGTAAAAATCACATTCATTCAGAGAAAAATAATTTTAAAAAATCTTTGCATTTTAGATTTTTATGTAAATCGTCATCCAGCTTCAGGAAGGAGTAGGGCTGATGTACCTTGTTCTTTACCCTGTGTGGAGATTTTTCACAAAGAATAAATCAACAGCCCTGCATGGAAAGACAGTCTTCCTCAGTTTTCACAACCCCACATGTCCATTGGTAAATTTATGCCCTGGTCCACCTGCTACCATGGCATCACGCCCACTCATACTAGGTGAGCACCTCACAGAAGCCAATCAACAAATCTCTGTACGGCTTGGAGAGGTTAATACACAGAATACCAAGAGTCAGGTTTTTGAAGAGGCTCCTGGCACATCTTGTGTTTTTAATGATTAGGATCTCACCCTCAGGGCTGTGCGTTACCAGCTCAGCCCTTGTAGCATGGGACTAGAGCAGATGGCTTGGCAAAACCAAAAGGTTTTTGCCTTTACAAAAATTAAAGATTAATTTGTTGTTTTCTTCTAATAGGAAATTTCATGCTGACGAACAGTATTGAGCTGACAGGCTTATATTTCTTCATCCATCTTCTGTTCAGAGAAAAGCATAACCATCCTTATGTTAACTCTACTGTCTGTCTACATCCTTCTATGCAGTGATGAGAGAATATTTCAGCACTCTCAGCTATTTTGCCCTTAGCATCTCTGCTGTGGTTTCCAACAAAGATGATATCACCATGTGTTTATGGATTTATTTGTTTGTTTTTCATGATGTGGGCAATGGTCTACTAGAAGCTGGCTTGAGCTCCAGTTATATCATATAGACCAACCATCTGGCTCCGGATTAATTAAGGGTAACATTTTTAGCCATTACTGCAGATATGTAACATAAGAGGAAAAACCGTCTTATTGCATCACCTTGTCACCTGAAGCAGCCAGATTAGTCAGTGTGTGGTGCTGGGTCCCAGTAGACTTTGATGGTCTGATCAGCAATGGTAAGTAACAGAAGTGTTTTTCAGAATATTAGACGAGTGCAAAGGATAAAAGGGGATTAGCCTTTTCTGAGCACGGGCAATGGGAATTAACCCTGGCTCATAAGTTTTCTGCTGGAAATTTTCATGTTCCTGTGTGAACACAACTGTAACAAGAAAGGGTTTGTGAGATTCAGTGTAACGGAATCTGGTTTTATATTTGTCTAGTTTAATCTATTTCAAAAGACAGAAAGATTGAAACAGTGTTTTGCTGAAAATTACAATAGATATCCACGCTGTTTATCCAATGCTAGTAGCTCTTTTTAAGGCTCTTCTAAAGCCCACACTCCAAAATCTTTACCATTTTGAACTCTAAACCCTCATAGGAGGTCATTAAGCATATAGGCAGCAGAACTGCACAGCTGCTCCTCCAGTCATACTAATCTCTAGACAGATGCTCTTCATGCTCCTGGGCTGTGATGAATGCCAAATAAACTATTAGAGAACAGATTGACTTAGACTGGACCATGATCCTTGGAGAACTGGTTTCAGACTGCAAGAACTGAGGCATCACATAGTGAGTTGCAACACAAATGACAATGTGATCACACAGAGTTGCCTTGCAGCTAGATTTTCTCCTCCAGCATTCCTGAATGCAGTCTTGCTTGAAGAGACAAAATCTAACTCTAAAGCAGACTTCCATTATTTTCTCTGCTTGCTTGCTTGCTGAATTTGCTGCAGGTAGCTTGGCTGCTCAACTTTGCCCAAGTCTGACTTAAAAAGAGATTCCTAGGCATTTTTGTATCAATCCTGTGTTCATCCACTGGCTGCGGTGATCTGCTGCCGTAACTGCTGGGAGTATTTACAAAGTAGTAAAGAGTGGCCTAGAGGCAGGCAGTCACTCCCCATCATTCTCTTCCCTTCCCTTCCCTGCAGAGGAGTCCTGAACACAACCTAGTTGTTACAAAACTCAGAGATCACATCTGCTCCCCTCCTCCGAGGCTCACAGGAAGATCACATGCCTCTATGGGATCTGAGTCCAGGGACCTGTCTGCCCAAAGAGAGGTGTCATCTGTGGTATATCCCACCACAGACCTTACTTTTCTGACCTTCATAGCTACAGCAGATGTTCTTGTTATGTTGTTATTCTGGGGACAGGAGCCTCTCTGGGCTCCTGGGCTCTCATCCAGCTGCAGCTGTGGAAAAAGGATACATATAATAATAATGGAATCTTCTTTCTGTCGTTTCAGCTTGCATCATCTTGGCACCAGCAATCAAGGTAGCATTAGTCAGTCAGTCATGGGGTTTCTGTGGAGCTCTCTTCCAAACCACCACCCTTCTGTCTCCCTCGCTACACTGCCATTGCTCTTATTCCCACTCCTTCCCAAATGGAGTGATTTCAGACCTAGGAAATAAAGAGTTGCTTTTCTGCTGACCACTGTGCATTTCCTCAGCTCATACCTCTCACATGTGCTAACTGTGACATTTGGAAACACAGAAAGCTCAATCCACTTAGTAATGGTGTACCCATGTAGAAGTCTGGCAGTGCTGCTTGTAAAGCAACGAGTGCTTGTGTCAGCCTTTTTTCTATGGGCTATTTCTCTGGTTTATGTCTTCTACAAGGAGTAAAACATAAGTTGCTCCTACCAGAGACTTAAAGAGGATTTCAAGCAATATATTCCCTTACATATATCTCAAGAAGCTACATCCCTGAAGAATCCCTACTGTTTGGGAAATATCCTGAAGGGCATTGCATATAATTGCACGTTTTTTTGAAAGATATACACAAAACTGCTTCAAGCTGTTATGCAAACAGTCCCTAGCTATTTTGTATAGGGATTCACTGCAAGAAGGAGCAGAATCTGTGAACATAAAGAACGATGAGGAGGCAGGAGTAACACTTGGGGAAAGGAAACTAGTTCCCGGTATGCTATGCCATAATGATGGGAAAAACTGTGTAGACTGATTTGTCAAAAATAAGGAAACATTACAATTTTTAGGCCTGTTATAGCTCTTATTTAATTTTGCAGAAGCTTATAAGAGGCCATTTATTTTTAACATAAAACTCTTCCCTGAAACTACGGCTTGCCAGGAAAACCAATGCCACTGTTATACATTGACTTAATCATAAAGAACGAAAATAAAATGCTCTTAACTGACATCCAGGAAAAACAGCTGAAATGAATTGCAGTTAAGCAGGTAAGGCAGAGTCTTGAGAAATGGAAGAAGACACAGAGGACAAAAAATGTTAATGATTTTTCCATATTAACAACATCTAAAAGTGTTACCATCTATGCGTTTGTGCTAAACCTTCTGATGGGCTGAAACCAAATAGAATTCCTGGACTAGAGTGAAAATCTCAAGAAAATGAGCACTGTCTTCCTATAAAAATAGAGAAGCCAGAATTATTGCCTTTGGCAATGAATAAAATTTGAAAGCAGACTGTGTTCCTGCAATGCTCTCTATTCCACCTTAAAGACCCAGTATGCTTAAACATTATCTCACATAAAGCATGGAGGCATGTATCCAGTTTCCTTTTCTTGTTAGCCTCCCCTCAATTTCATCCTGTCTTTCTGTTTCCTTTACCTGTCAGATTCCTTAGGAAGATGTACAGCTTGGACAACCCAAACCAGAGCTCTTTCTCCTTAAGATTTGTTTATGTTTGCTATTTCTTCCAACATGCTTCCTATTTTTTCTGCCAAATAGCACTCACAAAAGCCCTCTAAAGAGAATAATAAGAAAAAGGCTGAACAGAAGGTGTTTAGTCTGAATGCTGGCTTCATTTCAAAAAATCAAGTGAGTACGTTTCAGACAACTTTGTAAATCATAATCTGAATACAAACACTAGAGATACCTTATATATCACTTTTGGATAGAAGCATGGGGTTCAATATGGAAGAAGAGATGTTGGTTTTATTTTTGTTTTTTGGCTTTTTTTTTGCAGATAAGATATTTGCAGAAGGGATTTTAAGATCAAACACTATGAAATACACAAGAGAAAAGGAAAAGGAAAAGAAGGCATTTAACTTTTATGTGGTTGCATTTTATTGTGACCAGGGTTGAACCCTTCTATTTACAGTTGTGGAGAAAGAAAATATTTTCCTGACCACAGTCGAAGAGAGACCCTGACAGGGCTTTCCTGCTTGCCATCTCCCATGTCATCAGTGTTTTCTGGGAGAAGAATTTGAGGTGGTTTTCCACCTAAGTGGTTACAGCTGTTTCCACAGGATCAGTCAGATGGAGTTTCTGCCTCTGTTTATTTTGGCTCTGATTTTCGGCTGGAGCCCAGCAGGATGACAGTGTTTGCTCAGGGTCTTGGGACTTTGGACAAACATTCCAGAATTTCTGACTTCTTAACATTAATGTTTGATGAATTCTGCCCTTAATTTCTTCTGGAAAAATGTCAAGCCCACTGGGGATTACCCTTAGTCTTACAACAGTCTTTTATTTTTATTTTTTTTTTAAAGGAAAAAGAGAAAATCATTTACTAGCCTGTGAAAATGAGCATGCTTTAAAAAAATTAGAGAATGCACACTTTTAAAGCTGCAGGCTTCAGTTCTTTTGTAATTTTCTTGTTTTCTTTTTTTTTTTTTTTAATTTTCATGTTAAGAACACTGCTTGACAGGAAATATCTCCAGCTAAATCTTCCGCAAAAAGCTGTTGCACGCAGAGCTTTAGTTGGGAAGGTTATTATCCAGAAGTTAAGTAGCTCTTTCTCCAAGTTGCTGTTTTGATAGCCTCAAAACATACTGCGTCAATTCACTGTTGTCAAAGGTGACCTTTAGAAATCAAAATAAACACCCAGGTGAAATTCTGACCCCAGTGGAGAGAATAGCCTTTATCATTGACTTCAGCAAGGTCAGGACTTCCTCCTTAGTACCTTATCTCTTGAACAATGGAAAAGCACAAGTCACACAAGTCACATCTTCAGGAACATTTACTAACTCAAAGGGATGGATAGAAAAATGTATTTATAAAAATATACATAAATGCATGGAATTAAATCTGTATGTAAATTATATTCAATAAGCACACTGTGTTGTATGAAGTGGCTGCTGTTTTTTGTACCTATATACCTTTAGTAGCTTGCAAGGAACATCCATATGTTCAGTATGTATCTAAATTATATTTACACCATCATCAGCTGACTTCAGATTAGCTGGACAGCTGTACTTCAGAGGTCAGTGTCTAATTTATTCTAAAACACCACTAAAAGCTCAAGTTGTAGAGTCTTTCGGGTAGCACAGGATCCCTCCAGAGACTCATACAAATCAGAAGGAGGCAGATGGGGAAGCTTTTTTAGGTTCCAGGTCTCTGTCCTCTTTTCCTTCTCCTCAACTCTTCTCCCTCCTTTGGTAAAAAAAGAGGGAATTAGGGCTTCCTCAGGTGACACAAATAATCTCAACTTTGTTGATTTACACCAGCTAAAGAACTATCTTCAATAGTTATTATAAAGCTTTCAAAAACAAACAAAACAAAAACAAAAAAAAAAAGGAAAAGGAAGAGATTTGTGTAAATATGACTAGAAACAGGAAGGTTTCCTAATGAATAAACAAGCTTTCACAGCAGCAGCTTCATGCAAAAGGCTTCACAGCTTTTCACAGGCTGCAAGTAGTGTACATGGGCCATGTTGACAGCATCCACTTGTCTGGAGAAGTTACATTGAGGGACAGATCTAATTTATTATTTGGATTCTGATTACTGTCCTTCCCTTCTCAGTCTGTGCTGTCAGTGGTCTAGATAAGGAATATATTTAATATGTACCCATACTTTGACTTCACTGTGCAAAACAGCCAGAAAGAACTGGAGGGAAAAAAAAGTTTTGTGGGTGCAAAAGTTTGTGTTTATACTTTTAAGTGCAAAAGAGACATAGCATTTATTGAAGCTTATGCCATATCACACATCCCCGTGGAAGAAAAATGCAAAATAGAAATCAACAAAATATTGAAAATGTCGTCCTTCGGTATTTTCAATGGACAAGACCCTCAGTTATGAACTTTTTGCATTCATTCATTGATTCATTCAAAATATAACGTGTAAAACATGAGAAGAAAGTTTATTCTCACCCATATCTAAACCCATTAATTTTGTCTTTTAGTATGTCTGTACAACTTTAATCATCAATCTTTCATTTCAGAATAGAAAAATGTATCTTTTTTTTTTTCCTTGAATTGACAAACTTGGGTAGCTCTGTACAGTTTCAACCCTGGCATCCTGATCTAAAAGATGAGAAAGGGATAGTAGCAGGAAAAAATGTAGTGGGAGATCCCTGTGGAAAATAGATGTTACAAGAGAAAGCAATCAGCATCTAAGTGAGTGTGAGTCTGGAAAGCTGGAAATGGCAAAGCTAGAATTCCTTATTTGGTGTCATAGAGAGAAAAGGTAAAACTAAAGCTAAATACATTATATAAAATTAAAAAGAGATGTTCTTAAAAACAAAAAAAAAATTAGAAAATTTGCCTGTTCCATCCTATGAACACAGAAGGCTTCCTTCCAAATGACTCCCAGAAAAGGAGGGACAACCATTCTAAAGCCACCTTTGATTGATTGTTAAAGTCCACCCTCTATTTGGTGACTCAATTTTTTATTAAAAATAGTAACTAGCATACAGTCTTTGGGTGTATTTTACCCAGGTAGCTAGGCCAGGCCTTTGCTTTGAAGCTGAGAGGTAATGCAATACCTGAAATATTTGGAAACATGCTCAGTCTAGGCTAGATAGAAATTTACAGTGGATAAAAAGGTTTGAGCATGCAACTCACTTCCATGAGATATTAAGTAGGAGGAAGGAACAAAACTATTGAAACGGTATTGTCAACTACATAGATGTATAATATATAAAATATTTTTAAATTCTCATGCTTTGGACCAACTTTACATTAAGACACGATCTTGCAATAGTAGGTAAATAGGGTATATTATATTAGTTGCCAAAGGTACAGTGGAACACTGAGTCCATGAAATAACTGAAACCTGCATGCCATGTCTCTTGATAGAATTCTGAACAGCTCCTGGTGACACAAATAATTTGTCTTGCAAGGAGGGACATACTTGGACACTTAACAATATTAGTGAAGATTTGTTCACAGTATGAGTGTTTGCAGGTTGCATAATTATTAGGGGAAAAGCCTTAGACAGCGTGAGATCATAAATAATGCATTCATGAGGAATGAGGGTGTGATTCTTGTAACAGGAGAACCAGAAGAATCTATTACAAAGTTGACATTCCTCTGAATCAGGCTGTCTAGTTTTGTTGCAACAGTCAATATTCCTAATGTATCAACTATAGAGGTTTACTATTTTTCATTTTTAGTTAAAACAAAAAAATATTTTCAACCTATATTAAATCCATATGGCATTTGGAACACAGTGAATGCAGTTTTCTAAAACCATTAAGTGATTTACTGATATATAATTTCAAATCTATCCTTTCAAGACATTGAATTTGTGAGCAGAGTTTGGAAATATAAAGACAGCATAAAACTTAGTTCTGCTAAACCAAGTCCATAGCACATCATCATACAAAGCAACACAAACCTAGAATATGAAAAACCACACTCAAAAAAAGTAAGAAGAAATCCTTGTTGGACTATAAATGCATACGGATACATATCCAGATGGACTGACCAGAAAAATTTTCTTTGTTAGTAATAGCTAATTGCAATTGCTGATGTTTTACTAGAATATTTTTCCAACTGCCAGTTTATATTAAACAAAAGTAAGACACTATGAAATGCAGACAAATCTGTATAACTTGGTTTAGAATAAATATCAGCGTGGCAAAACTGAGCCATCCTTTAAGCATGCTGAGCAGGTAGGCATTTGATAAGAAAGTCAATGAGAACCAGTTTACACATCAGCACAAGATGGTTGTATAAATAGAACTGCAGAGTGGAAATGAACTCTGAGTAAACCAGGGAAAGGTTTTGTTCAGAAACAGGCAGCTGCAGCAGAAAAGTTTGTCACAGGCTCCCCAGGGAAGTGGTCACAGCTCCAAACCTGCCAAAGTTCAAGTGTTTGGACAATGCTCTCAGGCACATGGTGTGACTTTTGGGGTACCCCGTGCAGGCCAGAAGCTGGACTTGGATGTTCTTTGTGGCTCCCTTCCAACTCAGGATATTCTATCATTCTATGATTCTATAATGCAGTCTTACAAATATCACATTGTACCAGCAACATACAGGAAGGCAAGAAATATGTTTTCAGGTCTGAGAAATGATCTGTTTTCTGCTGTTGTGTAGCAATTTGTTGTGTAGCGATTTGCAGGAGATACACAATTAATCTGGAAGGAGTACTTCTGGTACTGCAAGGTACAGATGAGTTTACTCTTGTCTTCACAAGGCTGATCATTGTCATATCAATTCCACAGTAGTATATAACATGCTAATAGAAGCACTCTCAACTGGAGCAGGTAATACCTTTTCCCAAATAAAATCCAAAAACTGTATGATAATCAGGAACAGAGCTGATGTTCCAAAATAGTGCTAATTGGGTGAAAAAGAACTAAGGAAGACATTCTCAGTCACATATTATGAAACCCTCTCTCGGCAAATAATCTGTGAGAAGCATGCTTTTTATCATCATCAATGATTAAAAAAAATATGTATAATATCTAATTATGTTTAAATGTATAAATATATTTGTCACCCACAGGGATTCCTAGAAATTCAGGCCCCAATAAAACAAAATGCTGTAGTGCCTCAGGGCCTTTGGGAGCTCATAATAAATTATCTCTGTAGGTCAGGTTTGAAGTGCACTAGCAGCAGAGTGTGGAAATGCTGGCACTGTTTCAGTGATCAGTGGCTTTTAGTGGCCACAACAGAGACCTTTAAAAATAAAGAGATTAATTAAAACTTCTCAAGAAAACTGCAAGAAAAGTATTTATTCTGCTATTTAATACACATATTACTGTATGTCTATCTTTCCTGGGCTACTGGAATATCTGATGGGTATCAAATTGAGGTTATAGAGTGCAGCTAAAATTTTAGTCAAATAAAAAGATTGTAAAAGGAAAGATAGAACAAAAGAGCTTCAGTTGCACTGAAGAATCAGTGGCATTAATCACTTCAGAAAAACAACTTGGAAAATGCCCTGAACAGTTATTGTCAAGAGAAGGTATTAGGGGCAGCAGCACCTCTCTGCATCGTTAATTGACAGTTATATCTACAGCCAATTATTTACTAGTTCCTGGTAGTTCCTCTGGAGCTAATTTTACTGAGTAGAAAGAACCAGCTTGTGGTTAAAAGGAACTGTAAAAATACCAGTAATTTGTCTCTCCAGACTGTTTTTCTTGTGCCATTTCAGCAGCAGCCTGCAGCAAGCACAAGGCTGTCTCGTCATTGTTGCCCGTCATTCATTGCACTGGTTTGTTGGTCTCAGAGCAGAAGAGGTAAGGCAAAGTTCTAAACGAGTGTGTTGTACTAGTCAAGACTGTAGATAGAGACAGGGTATGAAAGTACCTCCCACTGAACCACATAAATAGCTTTGTTGAAACACAAGCTTTCTCAAAGGAGAAAAATGTTTTCAGCTGAACTAAAGGTCTTTAAAAAGCAATTTTTCACTAATTTACACTATGTATTCTTAAAAAAAATAAGAATACAATCACATGAAGGAGGAGCTACATGGATGAATTGTTTCTCTCATTTAGACAGGCTTTCATGTTGAACTGAGCTTGTTCTGAGCTGCTTTTAACATATTCTGCCACAGTTAACAGCTTCAAATATTTATTTTAAAAGGCAGAAAATTATTGTTAATTTTATGTTGTCAAACAGCCAGCCCATGCTTCATTTGGGAGCTGGCAGAGACAGACAAGCATAAGAAACATCCTGCTATCTAGTGGACTGGTAATTGTATTCTAATCAATTTAACAAATTGAGTGTAAAAGAAAAATGCTTCACAAGGGAAAAAGTTCAACTCTAGTCTTAAATCCCTGTCAGTGTCCCCTCACTCATCCTTATATCACACCTTCTTCAGCCAGGAACTGAACCTCATATGCTGCCAAATATGGAGAATTTTTTAACACTCTTCCCTCCTAACTCCCCCAGTTTCCTCTTGCCTACTCTCACTCTCTTTCCTTACAAAGTAGGTGCCATTATTCCATTATTTCTATTTTTTATGCCATTTCTAATTTCTCCTCTATCCTCCCTAAGGTTTCTGAAGCCCAGCCATGCCCAACACAGGTGTTCTTTTAATCCAGTGATGCAGGCACTGTGAATCCCAGCTGCCCTCTCCTATTTAAAAGAGGGCTACAGTATCTCATGCATGACTGTGGAAAATATCCATCCCAGAGGCAGGTAGCAGATAAACTGTGCTATTGCTTGGCACTAACAAGAAAAGCCTGGCTGTTTGCTATATCCCTGCCCTTGTTTTGCTACAGTCCCACCAAGTATAGACAAATTTATTAGACAAATTTATTTCTGCTTATATATAATTATTTCTGAACCTATAGCTGCAGTGTTGGATTGCTGAATTCTGTAGCTTTAATCTGATGTTCATGGCCACATCTTCTTACGACAGCCATAAAGACTCAGTGACTGTTCCTCACTTGACTTTCATTAAATCTGCACAGCAAATTACAAGGAGTAGTAAAGGGGTTGAGATTTACTATATAGGCAATTACCTGCTTTCAATTCTTTTATCCATCCAGAATTCATGTCCCTGAACAGAAGGGCTTAGTCAAATACTCAAGTCAGGTTCTGCAGAAGGAACCTGTTTGCCTTCAGCTTTCACTGAATTTGTCACAACTCTACTTGCAGCACATTTTGGAGGAACATATTTTAAGACATATTGCTACAACAACTAAATCTCAGAGCTGATAAATCACATATCTGGTCTGAAAAGGCAGGAAAAAGAAGAAGGAAAAAGGCTCTAAAAACTTTTGCGGTTGGCTAAGGGAGAAGCATACAGAATTTTTGAAGGAACATACTTCTCCTGGCAGTTAATAAGAGCCCTCACTTACAGAGCAGTGTTTGTCAGTGTTTGGGTAGACCCCAAAACATTTTAGAGCATCCAGCTACTACATGCACAACATCACTGAAATGCACTAAGCTATCCTCTAAGGGAAAAGGGCAGCTGGTACTGTGGAACAAAGGGTTCTGTGATACTGGACATGTATGAAAGTTTAGTTCTTATAAAGTGATACACTAAGTGACAACAACAAAGATCTTGCTTGGGTTTGTAAAGGAAAGAGGCATCTTGACAAAAAATTGTCCTGCATCATGCTGAATGTGAAAGGAAGAAAGATTTCCTGACATGAGAATAAAGAAAAAAATCGTTCAAGAGGAAGATAGCTTCTTCTTGAATGGCTCATGGAAACATCATCTCCAAGTGTTCCCTGTTTTCAGCTTACTAAAAGGATATGCCAATGGTTTAGTTTGCCTGGCTCTTTATTGTACTTAGGAGCAGTGCAACCCTCACATTTAGGCTACTAAGTCCCTTCTATCAAGGTTTTGTCACAAGCTGTGGTTGAGAACTGTCATGAAAAAAAATTAATTAACACAGAATCGTAAAAAATTATCACGTCATAAAACAAAAATATGTTGCTTGGTATCCATGGCAACTGCAGAAGCCAATGCTCTTTAACAGCCTTGCCTGAAATCATGTAAACTGCTTTGATAAAACATGAATCGTGGCAGATGGATATGTGAAAATAAAAATAACTTTGCATCCAATCTATTGCCCACATGGGACACCCTTGAAATAGTGTGAGTTATATAACCTTATCAGGAGTCATTTTGTTATGAGACCAAGATAGAGGTAGCATTTTTTCCATGCATCTAAACAGAGTCAAGAATGGGTTCAACAGAAATTGTGTAATAACTAAACCTAGGAAGCAAATGCTCCCTAGCATCTCTGAGAAATAAATCTAACCCTGAGCTCCACAGAAGATGAGCTGTGAGTCTCTCGTGCCAGGAAAGGGACTGGTTTTCGGCTTTGACCCAAATTCACAGTTAGAGCACCTGCTTCATGGCATAGGCTAGAGCCACAGATTGGCTTTCTGTAAGCAAGAATCATAAGGGAACCATGACAGAGGTGAAAACAGAGCCAGGGATGCATTAGGCCAAAGTAGCCACCCCCAAGCCCCTTCAATACTGCTCCATGGATCCATAGTTGAATATAGTTTCACTAATTGTTTTTCCTGCAGAAAAGAAAATCTGCCCTCAGCTCAGTATGAGCCATCAGTGAATGAACTGGATACCAGTTAGTGTCAGAGAAAATTAGAACCTGAGTCTGTGAGCATCAGATTGCAGCCTACTCTGGTTTTAATAACCTTTCCCTTAAATGAGCTAAGTCTTGCTTTATATTTTGGCTGTTGTACAGCAGCTTTGGAACATGCAGGTATCCATCACTGCAGGAAATGAGGGTGAGAAACACGTGAAAGAATTAGGAATTGCTCCAGAACCTGAATCTACAGTTCTGGTAAGAAGAGCTCATATTTATTCATATTTACTCATATTTGTGTGGTCTGAGAAGCCAGGGTTCCCTCCCAGGCTAGGGGCATCGTCTGCTCAGTGCATGAAAAAGCAGCCCCAACACTTCGGACCTTTCCAAGGCAACAACCATGTCAGTGGTCTTTATTTTTTCTCTCTCCTGGAAATTAAATTAAATCTGTCAAATCTGTTTTGTAGAACCTGATAAGTCAAGAAACAGAGATTTCTTTTCATCTTGATGAATCTGAACACATGAAGCCAAATGCTCAAATTTCAGTAACTTTAAAACTTCACTATGAAGGCTCTGGATTAACAACACCATCACCAAGACCGGTGCCCTCTGCCAGTGCTGAGAGGCATCATTCATGAATTGTAAAAATATCCCTTTTCTCAGGAACACATTGCTTTTTTTTCTTTATCCCTAGTAGTGTTATCAGATAGTAATATGTAAAGTCTGTCTTCACCTGAAGCTTATCATATAACTAAGAAAACCAAAGCAAACAAACACCTAAAATTGTGTGCTTTGCTAATAGGACCTCTTCCACTGGAAATGCCATGCCCACTTCTCATTTCCCTTCTTCTGGAAATCTCCTTGTCCCTTTCAAAAGCTGCAGGTCACGTGAACTCCAGGAAGAGTTGTTTTAAGTCAGAATGGGGTCCAGTCCAGAAATTAGGTCAAATGCAATTGTTATGTTAGTGAA